GTTCCCAATACATGACACTTATTATGGGACGGAGGGAGTATATATTTTTTTCCGGAAGTTATATATCTAGTAATTCTTGCCATCTCTTTCCAACCAATGAAGTTGAGGTAATATCTTTCCATCGAGGCAGGGGCATAATTGGTTCCCTTTCAGCAGATTTGTTGAAAGTCTTTCAAAAGTAAAACCCCTCAATGAATATTCAGGCACTTCTTTTGAAGGGCATGCAAGAAAGAAATTGGATCTATCCTTGAAGCTTTTATTGTTGAAGTGTGGTTAATTTGGTCATTTTGTGAATGATCTGAAGTACCTATTAAAGTCAAGTTAATGTATTTATTAGAGATTTGGTGTTATGAATAAAGGCATTTAGGAATGTGTGTTTGTGAGTGTTACCTTAAAATTAATTTGAATACATGTCTTTCTTCAATTCTGATATTCGGTACTTCCAAAGGTGAAGAAGACCGTAGGACTTTACCTTTTTTTATTAATTTTTTTTTATGCCACATTGAAAAGGTTGGACATGTTGTAGTTGAGGGTATTCCCATGGTGTTACTTTTGATCAATGCAGAAAAATCTAAATGGCATAGATTTTTTTTTTTTTTTTTGGGGCCTAGATCAGGTCTAGAAAATTTGCAATGCCTAAAAGCCCAAACTATGGTTGGTCTTGATTTGCAGGACAACGGACCCCACTGAGGACCTGGGCTTATGAGTTTTAAGGAGTTTGATATAATTGGGCCTCCAAGTGACCTAATTTAATGATTAAATCAAGCTAATTTAAAGTTTAACTGGCCAAATTATTACCATTTATTAATTTATTAATCACAAATATATTACTTTGTTATAAATATATATTATTAACTATATGGTTGGTAAAGTTTATTAATTGAATTATTATATATATATATATATATATATATTGAAAGTTAAAGCAATTACGCACACACCCTACCTCCATCAAGGTTTGAACCCTCGATCTCCCCTTTGGGGAGAAAGGGATGATATTGCTGGGCCATTTGGTCCTTTGGTATTGAATTATTATACTAATATACTAATATAAGTGATGATGATTGACATTTCGCTTTTCAACATTTACCTATATACCGTCTCAATAATAATGATAGTGATGCATCCATGCTTAAATTTTTTAACATGCAATTGAAATAACAAATTATATTTGGTCAGAATTTAATGACTCACAACTACAAGGAGTCACCTTTGAAATTAGAGACTTGGAGTCCCCTATCTATTTTGGAAAAGAATCCTCTCCTTTACACCTCTCACTGGAAACTGTCCAATGGGCTGAGGTGGCAAATTGGTTAAATCAGTATTTACTTGACTTTGTCTTATACATGTGATTTATACATAATTGTTTATACTCTGTATAATTGCAAAATGTATTTGACATTCAATTTTCAAATTCCCCCCAAAAGAAACTTGAGCTTGCCCCCAAAAGTGTGCTATATATATATATATACATACTGATTCTAAAATAGCCCTCTCTGAAATTTCAAACATCCAAACTGAACCTCATCCAAGATCAAGTGAAACCGAGTAAGACAAGGCAACCAAGAGATTACACATAAAGATAAAGATTTTGGAGAAGAAGTAGAGCAACTTAGTGTATCCGGTGAAGAGCTGAAGCTGAACTAAGGACATTTTTTTGGAAGCAAAAGGATCTCCCTGTTCAAAGAAGGTCTGTGTTCAAAGAAGGTTTGTTTGGAAAAATCACCATACATTTCGTCGAGAAGCTAAAATCTCCGAGAGTGAGAGATTCTCCCAAAATTTTTTCAGTTTGACGAGAAGCTGAAGCTTCGATCATCCATTCTAGTGTAATTTATACATCTTCTTTATACACCTTATTATTGCATATTTCAAAAATCATATTTGAGTTTCAATTTTCAATTTCTCCCCAAAAAGAAAGTTAACCTTCCCCCCAAAACTCTGCAATATATACTAAGTCTGAAATATCAAATAGGAAATCTCTCTCGGTAATTTGAAATCCGATGAAGAAAATCTCCCCAAAACTCTGTTATTTATGTTTTTGTATAAAAAAACTCTTTTAATGAAGGTCAAAGAGGCATAGCAAACAAAAGGAGATCTAGTTGAAAAAATCATCATACATTTCAGCGATAAGATAAAATTTTCGAGAAGGAGAGATTCCTCTAAAATATTTTCGACAGTCCAGCGATAAGTTAAAGCTCCGATCATTATAAGTATTAGGTTGTTATTTTGAATTTCTTGTAACTTTATTCGTAATGATATATCAAAGTTTATCTTATATGGCGGCATTAATCCAGTGGTGAGTATTGGTAATCAAAAAATTTGAAGGCTGGATTCATCACCTACCTTTTGTAACAACATACAGATCAATTTATTATACTCACAACTTATTTAAACATGTGTCATGTATAAATTGCATATTGCATCAACATATTTTCTTAACACGTTAAAAAAAATTAACTTACATAACTTAATTTCACAATTTCTAAATTAATAATAAGAATCACAAATACTTTCAATATATATGTTGGAAGATTTGCATATTCCATCACCTATTTTTTGTAACAACATACAATACAAAAGTGGGAGAGATAAAATTGTTATTAGCACAACTTTTTTAAACATGTATCATGTATGAAATGCATATAGCATCAACATATTTTCCTAACACGTTAAAAAAATTTAACTTTCACAACTCTATTTCACAATTCCTAAATTAATAATTAATAAGAATCAAAAAATACTTTTAACATATATGTAGGAAGATTTGCATATTCCATCACCTACTTTTTGTAACAGCATACAATACAAAAGTTGGAGAGATCAAATTATTAGTATCACAACTTTTTTAAGCATGTATCATGTATGAATTGCATATAGCATCAAAATATTTTTCTAACACGTTAAAAAAATTAACTTCTATAACTCAATTTCACAATTCCTAAATTAATAATAAGAATCACAAATACTTTCAATATATATGTAGGAAGATTTGCATATTCTATCACCTACTTTTTGTAACAGCATATAAAAAGTATCAATATATTATCATACGTTAAACATGTATCATGTATGAATTGCATAAAGTATCAATATATTTTCCTAACACGTTAAAAAAATTAACTTCCATTATTCAATTTAACAATTCTAAACCCTAAAATCTATATAATTAGTCAATTATTTCAAAACCCTAAAATCTAAAATAAATTTATATTTGGATACTGAATTATACCGATACATAATCAATATTTAAGATTTGTAATTTTACTGAAAAGGAATGGAATAAATTTTTTTTTGTATATAATATATTGTTATATGTATATTTGGATACTAAATTGTACTGATATATTTTTGTATATAAGGTTTGTATATATATAATGTACAAGTATATGTTTTATGGAGATTTGTAATTTTACTGAAAATGAATGGAATAAAATATTTTTGTATTTAATATATTGTTATACGTATAGTTGGGTACTAAACTATACCGATATATTTTCATATATAAGATTTGTATATATATAATGTATAAGTGTATGTTGTGTGAGAATTTGTAATTTTACAGAAAGAGAATGGAATAAAATATTTGTTATACGTATATTTGGATACTGAACAACACCCATATATTTTTGTATATAAGATTTGTATATATATTTTTGTATATATATAATGTATAAGAGCATCTTTAGTAGTATGTTAAAATATCATTTTGTGTAAAATATACACTGCCACATATGATGTGTAATTTTTTTTTTTTTTTTTTTTAATCTCCAACAATCTGTTAAGATACATAAATGTGTAAAATTATTGTGTATTTTACACAACCTTTTTACACATCCACATCAATATATTTCCTTTATTTTCCCCGTTTCTCATTCCATTAAAAAATTAACCCTATATATATTAAGTAGGTTTGTAAAAATTATGTGGGTCCTAGCATGACATGTGGTTGGTTGTTATTAAGGGATATATTTTTACACGAAAGGTATAAAACAACCGTTGGAACTAAAAATAAATAATTTAATTTTTTTGTGTAAATCAATGATGACACAGCAGATTTACACAAAAAAAATATACATAACAGTTGGAGATGCTCTAAGTGTATGTTGTATAGTTTTAGATCGTGCTGTCAATTTGGCTGCTGTATTAGTACATGTGGTAAAAAAAAAAGTACATCAGTAACTTTGTTAACTAAATTGCTGACTGGGCGCTGAGTTGGAGCTGATTAGGCGGTGATCATATCTATGAATTCGGATCCCCTCCTGGAAGAGAATTTGTGCCGGGTCATGTGTTGTATGTAAATGATTAGTGCAACACAAATACGTTGTGAAGCTACTGCATAAACAACTTGAATTCGGATCATTTCCTATGGAAGAGAATTTGCGCCTTGGTCATGTGTAAATTATTAGTGCAATGCATTATATCATAGTCCACATATGCATGAAAAAAGTTGTATTTGCAATGCAGATACAATGTGAATCTATTGCATAAACAATTTGAATTTGGATCCTTTCCTATGGAAGAGAATTAGTGCCTCGGTCATGTGCTGTGTGTAAATTATTAGTGTAACACATTATATCTTAGTGCAACGAATATATTAAAAAATTAATATAACAATACACAAGCATGTGAGATTGTTATATAAATAATTTGATACAAACACATGATGATATGAAATGACACAAGAAATGATCTAGGTTCATATATCCTGTTACTATATTATTAATATCAAATCACATCGGTACAAATATTGAATTTATTGTCACTACCATTTGTTTTGATCAAACCATTACTCATATACTATACATACATACAAAGGTCCCTCATTTATTACTTCCTCCATTACTTGCTTAATCACTCTTACCCATCGTGTAAAAGGAATATAACAATGGGGAATCAGAATCCACGGCCCTTTTATCATCAACCACTCATTTATTCCGATTGCATAAAATTGTAAAACTAGAGTTATATATATATATATACCCTCTCTTTCTCCAATTATTTTAGTCGTTTAGCTGAGCTCCACGGCCACCGTTGGCCTTACCAGAGAGAGAGTGGTGGACACCAGGACCGTGGTGAGTGAAAGAACAGTCCAAGAGAATCGAATTGCTCGCACCCTGCACGTTGCTGTTCATGAATGTAGTCTTCAATGGCCACACCATTTTGTGAGTTTTGTCCTTCATCTTTGACCTCCCTTCTTCATTACTCTCTCTTTCCAATTTCTCACCGTTGTTGTTCAGAGCTGTTGGATTGCCTTCGTTGCAGAGGGAAGGGCTCAATTCCATAATAGCACCTCTGTTTTCACCTGCAATTGTTATAACTCTCACCCCAAAATCTTCGGAATCCGAATACCTGCTGGCATGCTTTTGAAAGTTACCATTGGAGGTGTTGAAGGTTTCTTGTACCAGTATAGTTTTTTTCTCGGCTTCTGCTGGAATCTTGGTTTCAGGCTTGCCAACAAACTTTATTTGGGCAGGAGGGAGGAACAGAGGAGATGGTGGAGTAGAAACGGGCTCCATCTTGGGGGATAGAGATTTGGGGGAGGATGGTGGGGTGGCGGCACGAGCATTGACAGCGGTGGCAGAGGCAGCGGTGGCAGAGATATAAGAAGGTGGTGCCGGTGGTGACATTACTTTGGGGGCTGGAGAAGTGGGCAATGAAGATGAAGAAGCTGAAAGTAGTTGTTTTTAGGAGATGGTGACAGTGAAGAAGAGGATGCAACTTGAGGAACTGTGGATTTTGGTGATGGTTTTGGTGCTGGAGAAGTTCACAGAGAAGATGAAGAAGGGGAAACTTTGATGGTTGGAGATGACGACGACACATAAGTGGTGGCAGGAGGTGGTGCAGCAACAGGTGGTGCTGGAGGTTGGCCTGCTGGGGGCCTAAATGTGGGTCGGACAAGTGGTGGCCTTGGCTGGCGAGCAGGTGGTTGAGCCTGAGGCGCCAAAATGGTTGGTGCTGGTGCTGGGGCTGAAGGGCGATTCGTAGAAGAAAACGGGATCCATGGACGAGCTGGTGGTTGCTGACTTGCCATTATATATGTGATATGATCAGTTTAGGCAGGGTATTTCAAGCAATTCAGTTGTTGTATATCTAAGCAAAATGAAGGGTCTCATTAATTTATAGTGTTAGTAGTGATGACAAAACAAAAAGTCTAAAAGCATAATGAATTGAACTTTTTCCTGGGCCCTTGAAGTCTTAAATTAACGGTGTTCTAGGTATTTTGTTACACCAATTTCAACTTGTGGCCCCCAAAAGCATGCTGTAAATGTTATTCTAAACTTTGTAAAGTACAGGCAGCACTAACCTTGAGCTCAACGGCGCTTATTGTGCAAATGCATATTGCGGCTCCGACATTCATGAACCATCAGCGCATATATTAGATTCATGTTTCTCTTTAATAATACTTGAGCTCATCGGCGCACGGTACTCATGTTTAAGAATCAAAAGGGTTGACGTTCACTCAAAAAAAAAAAAAAGGGTTGAACTTCACAAAAGGGTTTGGGGTATCACACCTGAATTAGATTCTTGTAGTGAAATTCACAAAAGGTTTATATTACCTTTGCCATATGTGTCCTCATTCTGACTTTGCATGTGAGTTTTTTTTTTTTTTTTTTTTTTTTTTTTTTTTTTTTTGTTAAAGAGTAAGCTTGTATATAAGTAAGAAAGGATATACATGGAGCCCCTATTAGGGGAAGTACAACACAAACAAAACAAAGGTTCAACACTAACTTCAACAAGATGTAGCACAGTTGCCAAGAGCACCAAGAACACAGCTAACTACAACACCAATAGCATAAATATTTCAGACCAAAGTATTGGATACCATTCAAACTCAAAAGCATTAAGGTTATCCTAAAATATCAGCCACGAGTAGGAAGAACAAGACTGCACAAAAAGATTATGGAGGTCATGCTCTGCTGTGATAATTCTAAGATCAGAACTCCTCGTCAACTTAATTGCAGCTAAATGAGCTCTGATGCAGGACTTTATCAAGGAGATAACATGATAAGGGGTATTGGAAACATTCTTAAAAGATCTACTATTCCTTTCCTGCCAAAGAAAATAGATTGCTGCTAATAGTAGGAGCTTGTGAATGAAGAACTTTGCTGAAGTCCAGTGAGCTGAACGCCAGCTGATCAAATCCATCCAGCAGCTTGGCAAAATGTAGAACCCTGCAACATCTTGTATGAAGCTCCAAATCCAAGAGCTAAACTGACATTTTGAGTTAAACGTATTCGAGTTCCCAATAAAGTCGCAAAGAGGGTTTTAATGAGTAAAGATTGAAACGGCTAGGGCTTTGGCAGTGAACAGAGATGGAGATGGCGGTTTGGGTCGCGGTGGAGATGAGAGATGAGGGAGATGAGAGGGTTAGGTAGGGTGGAGCTTGATGGTAGGGAGGTTTGCTTTCGGGCGAGGGAGTTGAGAAGAGAGGGACCAAATTGTGCGCACTAGGGTAGTTTCTGGCGGGCTAGTAACCCAAAATAGTTATTATGCGTTTGGTTTTATCCGGCATGATGTCCAAATATATCCACTATTTGTTAATTTCGCATTTCGTTTCAAGTTGGAGGAAAATGGGGGATGTTCTGAAGTTTTTGAGGAAACAGGCCCGAGCGCCGCGACGCTGACCCAGAATTATGCACAGATCCTTGTTTTTCCCGTAATGACCCCCCTTCGTTTCCAGAGTTGCCCACGTCTACACCATTAACTGAAGGATCAACCCAAAATGTTCTTCCTCAGGTAATCTCGAATCTCGTATCTCTCAATTTTGCTAGAAAAGTATGATATTAGAGTATTTTCCTAAGAAACATCTTGTTGTTCTCAATGTTCAATAGTATGTGGACTTTTTTGCATGTGCACATACTAAAATTCAAATAAATATAATTATCTAGTATAAGTAAATTTACCAGCAAATATACTATAATGTTGTACAAATTCTCTTGTTGAATTTTTCGACACTTATGTTCAAAGATATAAAACAAATGATCTCTCTTTTATCCTTCCCCAAGTGAACCATCTAAGACCTAGTGATATAAGACATGATAAGGAGGGATACATCATCTTAATAGGCAAGTTATCATTTGAAAATAGCCAATATAAAGACTTTTCAAATCAAGTCTATATAAAGAAAATAGCCATATGTATGAGCAATATAACTACTAATATTTAATAAGAGATCATACAATTGAATTTGGTGATGTGATGAGAAATACTTTGTGACCTTAAGTGGGGTGCACGATTCCAAGATTCAGAGATGTTTCATGTTGTTTTAGAACCAAAGCTCTCATGGGAAACAATATTGTTGTTATAGTTATTTGTGCGTGTAGGTGGGAATGGCAATATATATAGGTATAATTTTCTTTCAAATATTTCTATTTTTATTTTGGTAATTACCTTGTATTGCTACACTAAAAATATCAAAAAGTGTATATTATATATACATATATATATATATAGAGAGAGAGAGAGAGAGGGAGAGAGTTTGATCTCTTGCTTACTGGTGAGCAAGATAATTTATCCACATTTTGTATGTGGATCATTAGATTCAATTTAATAGTCCAATTTCAAGCCTGCTAACTTTATTTCCTTTTACTGAAAACGACTCTCAGCCGGTATTTTAATTGGGGATTAAATTGGGGGTGGGTAACACGCATGAAGAAAAATCGCCATGAGAAAATGGGTAGTATAATAGCTTGCTCAAAGCTTCCTTGTCTCATTGTCAAAGCATGAAAATTTAATGAAGGGTAAGAAAAATGTGTTGAGAAAGCTTTTGAGAGATATTAAGAGTGACTCCATTTTCAAACTAAATTATTACTTGACTGCCATTTGTGAAATCATCATTAAAGAGACTAATAAATGTGAAATCATCATCACAGAGATTGTGACATACTCAACTCCTCCACCTCCACTTTCCTAGTATTTAAAAAAAATCTTTCACTTTGAGTTGGTAATAGAAACTCACCTCTATATATATATCTAATAATTTTTTATTTTTATTATTTTTATTTATTTTTTTTTTTTTCCGGAAGTTATATATCTAAACCATTCTTGCCATCTCTTTCCAGCCAATGAAGTTGATTATCTTCCAAAAAAAATTAAAATATTACATGTGAGTATACGTGCGACTATCACGTAAGCACGAGGGAATACCATAATAGTTATGTAAGCATGAGAGAACACCACCATAATAGTTATATATAAATATATATACAATCAAGGACGGATTCAGGCAAGCCCACCAAATTTTTTTATTTTTTTTTACTAGAGGTAATTTTAGCCCAGTCAAAAAAAAAAAAAAAAGTTTTAGTAGTACTAGCCCATCCAAGAATAGATTAGCCCACCCCATTATGCATTTCTGGATCCACCCTTGTTACAATAAGTTTGTTTTCAACCCATACATGAGAAAATGGATAGTGATTTAGCCAAAAAAATAGTCATTGTTATTATCTCTCAATAGCTTACTCAAAGCATCGATCATTGTCTCATCCTCAAAGTACGAAAATCTAATGATGGGTAAAAAATTTGTGTTGAGTAAGCTTTTGAGAGATAATAGGTGTGACTCCATTTTCAAACTAAATCATTATTTAACGGCCATTTGTGAAATCATCATCGGAGACATTGTGATATACTCAACTCCTCCTCCTCCACCTCCACTTTACTAGTATCTAAAAAAATCATTTACTTTGAATTGCCAATAGAAACTCACCTCTTTCTCTCTCTCTATATATATATCTAATATATTTTTTTCGGAAGTTATATATCTAACAATTCTTGCCATCTCTTTCTAACCAATGAAATTGAGGTAATATCTTTCCTTCAAGGCAGGGGAGTAATTGGTTCCCCTTCAGCAGATTTGTTGAAAGTCTCTCAGAAGTAGAATCCCTCAATGAAAGTTCAGATACTTCTTTTGAAGGGTATGCAAGAAAGAAATTGGATCTGTCCTGAAGCTTTTATTGTTGAAGTGTGGTTAATTTGGTTGTTTTGTGAATGATCTGAAGTAATTATTAAAGTCAAGAGTTAATGTATTTATTAGAGATTTGGTGTTATGAATAAAGGCATTTAGGAAAGTGTGTTTATGAGTGTTACCTTAAAACTAATTAGAATACAAATCTTTCTCCAATTCTAATATTCGGTACTCCCAAATATAGCACTAAGACATTTTATTATCGGAGTTCGAACTTCCGATTTTCTACTTAACAAGGTGAGAAAGACAGTAGGACTTTACCTTTTTTTATTATTTTTTTTCATGCCACATTGAAAAGGTTAGACATGTTGTAATTGAGAGTATTCTCATGGTGTTAACTTTTGATCAATGCAGAAAAATCTAAATGGCCTAGATTTTTTATTTGGGCCTAGATCAGGTCTAGAAAATTTACAATGCCTAAAAACCCAAACTGTGGTTGGTCTTGATTTGCAGGACAACGGACCCCACTGAGGGCTTATGAGTTTTTAAGGAGTTTGATATAATTGGCCCTCCAACTGACCTCATTTAATGATTAAATCAGGCTATTTTAAAGTTTAACTGGCCCAAATTTAAATGGGACTCTTATTATCATTTATTAATTTATTAATCACAAATATCTTACTTTGTTATAAATATATATTATTAACTATGTGGTTGGTAAAGTTT